ATACGACGCTGAAAAAAAAACAGCATCTTAACTAGAGAGGCAGAACTAAAGGGAATTATTTTAAAATTATACAGTAGTTGACTCTGTAGGATTTTGTAGGATACGACACTTGCCACATTTATTTCTAGCTAAAATAAGAAATTGAAAAGTTTCCGTTTTTAAATTGAAGGGGATTAATAAATTATTTTGAAATAGTACAAATAAAGGAAATTATTTTAAAATCCTACAGCAGTTGATGCTGCAGCAGCGGCAGGTGCTCTAGTTGTTTGTGGCAACGGCTGCGTTGCTGGTGCTCTCGATATTTCTACATCGGAAGATGAGACTCTTGCTGCACTTCTTCCAGGCTAAAATAAGAATTCGAAATTTTATTTATTTTTAAATCTTATTAATACTCTTTCAGTGCAAAAATGTTGCTACAACATTCATTATTGCACACCCCCGCACTGCTTACATTGAACTGCATTTGCGTCAAATGCTGTTATCACAATGAAATAGAGCAATGTCTTGTTGAACGTGTTAATCGGCAAAACGATGTGAAGAGTAAAGCAGTGCGTGCTTCGCATTAAGTAAAAAAAAAACAGCTTCATGGAAATATTGCTAACGTAGGATAGCAGATGATAATTAAACTAGGCTAGGCAAAAAACAAATGAAGTACCTGAGGTGTGCCATTCATTGATGTGAAATTCTGAAGTCGCTGAAGCGGGCTATAACTCTGAAAAATTTAAATTTTGTTAAATTTCAAAATATAACACGATATGAATCTTTTTTTTTCTTTACGAAAAATGCGCATCCATGTCACCAGTGCTGGAACAGAAGAACAACAAACGACCTGATCCAACAGCAAAAAACCTTTAAATTCAATGTTTATCAAATTCGAAAAAATTTCAAAACCCTAGAACTGCTGGCATACTTACAGGATCAGTGCTGGTCGGTGCTGCTGTTATTGGTGCTGTTAGCGACTGCGATTCAGCAGGAAATGTTGTCGCTGGAGCAGTAGGTAATGAGCTTTGGCCAGATTGCAATTCCTGCTGAAATTTCGCAGATTTAGAAAATTTATCGGAAATTTCAAGAATAAGTGCACATTTACCAGACATCACTTCAAATGTTTTGTCACTTAAAATCAGTGATGTTCAGCTTTTGTAAAGTGTCGAACAGCTCCAAAACGAGACTGCTGCTCAACAGTGCATAACTAGAAGGTGCTGAAACAATCTTTTCCCTCATACCTTCTTTTTACTTCCACCCAGCTAACACCAGGAAGCTAAATCTTTCGAACTATTGTGCCCGAATTTATTTCTTATTTTCCTCCATGATTATCTTGACATGCCTTTAGCCGTTTTTCATAAATGCGGAAAAATGAAGAAGGAAACAAAGGCAACCTTACTGTACTTCAGCTTCTCATTTCTCTCAAAATAGATAAAAAAAAAAAACAACGTATACTGTCTACTTCTACAATACCATTACTAAATAACAGCGTAAGAGATAAGGGATCAGTCTAATTATCATGTGTATGAAAGTATGCTCCTCTACAATCTTCTAAAGAGGGAATCAATGAGAACCTGAAAGTAGTCAAGTGCTGTTTGTAACTACTACTT